ATCCCTTCAAATTACAATTTTAAAGATAGAGAGAGTTGTGAATGCTGGATTTACTAATTTTACAGTTTAAATTTATTTTTTTAGAATTGCTTTTTGTGATATCTTCGTCATTAAGTAAGTGTAATTTTGTGAATATTACTACAAGACAAGGGGTACTTTTGTCATCTCCATAAAAATTTTGAAATTTTTACTGAAAGATAAGGGCACTCTACAAATAAAATTTCAGGACACTAACTTCCAAAATGTCATTGTACTTTTGTAAAAATTTCAAAATTGCCATTGCTTATCTTTTAAATTATGTATTAAAATAAATTTTTAAACAAAAAATAATGATATTTTTGATAAATACACCCATCACAACCACTCTCTCTTCCTGCATCTCTCACTCATTCTCTCCTCCCATGTTTCTCTAAACACCACTCTCTATTCCCGATAACCTCGCACCTCCATGAAGCCCTTCTCTCTCTCTCTAGAAGTTTGGGATGATAGATTTTAGAAAAGGCATGACTTATTAGATTTATTTGGCTTAACAAAACAGGTTTAAGTTAGCTCAGAGGGTTAGAAAAAATAAAATCTATAATTTTTTTCCTCATTATATCTTTTAAAATATTGGGTCTCCTGTGAAATAAAACTTAAAAATAGGGGGTATAGAGATATTTTCCTTTTTTTGAACAAGTTTCTCTCACCAACTCTTTGAACAAATCAATGCTCCATGAGGCAAAGGAATTCTTTGAGATGCAAATCGAAGAGAGGGCAAAGTTTTGTTTAGAGGACCCATAAAAGAAAAATAGGGTCTCAACAAGCACAAACAAAACCAACTTAAGCCAAGATGCGCATAAAGACCTTAAACACAATGACCAACTTTAGAAGAGAGAAAATTTTGGAGCCAAATGAAACAGATTAAGAATCAATGTTATGAGCTTTGCTTGGGAATTGGAAGGATGAAAAACCCTTAAATCTTTGACTCTTGGAAAGCAATAAAGACATGACTACCATCAATGGCCAATGATTTCATGGGCGCCATGACGTTTACCACATGCTTTACCGTATCCAAGGTCGAAACAACAGCCAGACTATGTTTATCTAGGGCTTGGATCTAGTTGCCAGAAGAACCAGTGTAGAGGCGTTTACCGACCAGATGGAGGGCTTGGATTATGCTAAAACTCAATTTGACAGAGGATTAGGTGGAAAATAACGGGGGGAGAGATTTTCCAACGTTATTAATTGTAAAGAGGGGCCAAAAGGTAAGCTAAAAAAAGCTTCGGGTGGTTCAGAGTCGAGTGAGGCTTTAGTAAGCTAAGGTTTTCAGAGCTGGACTCTACGGGGAAGAGGAGGCTGGAGAATCTTGCTTTTTCGACGATAGTGATGGCTTTCCGGCCACAATAGTGGAGTAGATGGTTAAGTATCCCAGTGCTGCCACGAAAGGAAAACTGCATACCATGCGAGAGAGATTCATGAATGTTCACACATTTCAAATGTTTTGTCGGATAGGTGGCAGAAAATGCATTAGCTCACCAGCCCTTTTTTAAAATTTTTTGGTTTCCTTCGAAGACAACTTGTCCCAAGTTGTCCTAAGGGTTCTTGTTTGCTAGTTAACCCATCCGGGAAATCGGGATAATCTACGTTTCTCCATATCGACGTCTTGGAGGTCAAGGCCCGCAACAGAATATCTGTGATTATCAGATCGGACTAGATTCAATCTGGGTTGATGAGCTCACATGT